GAGAAAAATTTGAAAGTTGATTTCTTGTTATTTCGTGTTGTTGAAGATAATATGGGAGTGGTATTTCATTTTGCATTTGTGCTGGTTGGTACGAGTTTGCAATCATTGGGTTTTGTTGTTGAATTGGTTGAAAAGATTTATTAATTGGGTTTTGTTATTGAATTGGTTGTTGAATTTGTGTATCTATTGGTTGTGGAGAAAAAATTCTATGATATGTATGTGGTTTCTGTATTCCTTGTCCACGATATTCTTGATTATAGGGTGTAAATATATCTGGTTGTAAGAAATCATCATCTGAGGATAAGTAATCCATTTGATAAGATGTTTGTTTTTTATTTTTATTTCGTTGAAAAAATGGATAGTTTTCACTACGATCCTGTGGAGGATGTAAATTTGTTTGGAAATTTACTGAATTAGGTGGTGCCATTGGGTTATCCCAGTTTTGAGATCTTGTATAATTACTAAAATTTTTTCGTGGTTGATAATTTGTTTTTGATGGGTGTGTGTAATTATAATTATGATCTGCAAAGTTGTTTCTAGTGAACGTTTTGCGTGTTTTTGGCGGTATTGTCATGGGTCTGTATGTTTGGTAATCCATGTGTGAATATTTTGGAGCAACCGAAGGTTTAACGGTTGATTGTAATGTTACCTGTGTTTGTGAAGAATTTGTATTTCTTGGTGTTGTTAAGTTTGGACGTATTGGTGAAATACTTTGTTGTGTAGTTGTTGTGTGTACGATTTCTTCATTTATGAAGTGTGATGGTGTCTGGATATCTTGTTGAGTAAGATTCCTAGTTCCATTGAGGTTTTCATTATGTATGACTGTAGAGTTTAAACTATTATTTTGCATATCGGGTAAAAATGTATTATAGTTTAATGGTGTTGCATCAATGGTTAATGGTATTACTCGTACATAATCTCTTACATAAGATATCGTACTTATTGCTTGACTTGAGATTGATTGTGGGAAGTTTATGAATGCGGGATGAGACCATTCGGGGTCCCAAACATAGTCTGATTGTTCTGTGATGGCAGTATCATCGTTGGAGTTTTGGGGTCTAAAATTTTTTCTTGCTTGTGAAATTAAATCAATATTATGTGTGAAATAATCTATTATGAACCATGCCAAGATTTTTTGTAAGTCGTGTTTTGTATGTTGTGAAACTTCATCTTTCGTGAAATTTTCTTTAATTATATTTAGAAAACTAGAGAGTAGTGTGATTTCATGTCGTACTCTTATATGTTTAGATGTTTCTGTTGGTGAGACATTTGGTATCTGGATTTCGTTTTCTAATATCGAGATATAACTATATATTATCGCAAAAACTTCATTGGTGAATATGGAGTTTGCTCTTTGTGAGTTATTATATTGGATGCTTTTTATATATTCTGAGAATATTTTTGAGAATTCTAAATCAAGGTCGTCTGTTTGAATTATATATTTACTGTGATTCTGGTTTGGTGAGCTGAATTCTATGGAGTAGATTCCGTATTGTTGTGTTAGGTTACATATATCTTTTAGATAGTGATCGATAATTTGTCTTTTGATTTTTACATCTGGGAACTCTGTTTTACATGGACTGATTCCGGGTTCAAACAAATTTAAGAGTAAATTTTTGCAGAATATATGCTGTCCTCTATCAGTGGTTGCGTCTACGATAAAGGGGAAAATATCATCATCATCTGGACTTTCTTCACCTGGGGTGTGCGTTGAGCTCATTTTTTCGTTCGATGACTGTTAATATGTAATTATCAATGTGTCTAATTGGTTGATTCCAATTGTATAAATGTACTGGTTTGTGTTTATACTGCTTTTTTATTCTTCTTTTTCCTCTTTTTGATGAATTTGAAGTTGTTTCTGAGTCAGAGAAATATAATTGATCGTGGATTGGGCAATTTTTATCTATTGATTCTTTTAGTTTATAAAGTTCGTCTAAACTGTTGGTTTCTGATTCTGAAAACGCGTTTCGATTTTTTGAAAATCTTTTTCGTGTTATTTGTCTTTGTTTAGTTAGTATTTTTCTCTTTAATGTTTGTCGTTTTGTTCTAATGTATCCAACTGTTTGTGTATGAGGTGTGATTACAAGGTCGTATTTTTTGTTATTTATTTCACAATTGTGTAAAACGATTGTTTGTTTATTTCCTAGGTTTTTAAATGACATAAGGTTTAGGATGACGGATGCAAAAGGTTGTTAAATGATTTCTATTTGCTTAAACTGTTAGTCCTTACGATTTTTTTGTTAGCCTAACCTGGGTCTATTTGTTCAGGGTTGGGGAGAAAAGTATATCGATTCCGAAGAATGATTTTATACTTTCTCGTGGCTAGTATAAGCTAAGGTGTTAACTTACTTAATCTTACTTAAGGGTAGTGATTGTGTTCAGGGTTGGAGAATAGTAAATCGATCCACAGGGTTCAGGTATAATTAGAACGCGAGTAGTTCGTTAGATACTATTTTAAACTTACTAAGTCTAAGATTTATCCTGGGTCTGGTAAGAGGGGGATCAAGTGAAGGATGAATAACCGAAGTTCTTCACTGTTTATCCTAATTTGAATGATTAGTTTTGTTCAAAAATTTCTATTAGTCCTGGGTTTTTAGAAAGGGTTGGATAGTGAATCGACGTTTGAGGTCGTTAGACACTCGTTTAAGTGGGTGGGGGAGAACAAAGTTGTTCTTTTTGATCCAAGGATAGGCCTTGATGATCAAGTTTTAAATTTAATTAAATAGAAAATGATTTAAGATCCAAGGATAAGCCTTGATGATCTGATTTTAAAATTAAGTGAATTTAAGTTTAAAATGTTTTAAATTTGTGTAAAGAATAGATTTAGTATTTTTATGATATTAGTGAGCTTATGATTGCTGTTATGTTTAGGCGATGAAGCTGGAACAACAGGATGATTTATAATTACTAATCATTTATTGTCATGCTACTAATTTTTATTTTGATTTTTCAATAAATATTTTTCAAACATGTTTTGTATATTACTGCAGAATTTTGGAAAACGATCTGAGATCTTTTTAGCAATCGTTATTGTATATTAATAATTTTGTTTAGCGCCTGAAATGATTTTGAAGATTGACTTCAAAATTTTATGTTTGCAAATGAAAATCTAAATTCATTGCTAGTAGTATTCTAAATACAAAAGTTTGTTCTGGCTTTTGCCGAACTATCATATAACTATATGGTAAGTTTCTGCTTTGTCGTATGTCGTCTCTGGTTCGAGGTCTTCTTCCAATTCCGGGTAGTTCTGTTATCGTTCGGAATATTGGCTCTGATCTATTGAGTCGTAGAGACATTTCGATTAAATTATTGTCGTATAACATTTTGTAAATGTTTTGTCTAATTTCTAATCTATTATTGGTTAATGCTAAGCTATTAAGGTCTTGTTCGAGACTTATGGTCGCACCAGATGAGTTAGGACCTAAGTGGTTAACTCATAGAGTAATTTCGGATAGGGTACACCGTCTGCTCGTCACGCTATCTTATTTTCGGCCGGATAGATTCGTGCAACTTCTTAGTCTAATACCGATCCTAATCTTACTCTTATACTATCTAGTCTCAGGTTGTTTAACTAGTCTCTGCTAGGCTCAATAGATCTAGGGTATACTGGTTTATTGTGGCTGCTGAAGTACTCGGGAGAGTTCAACTAATTTCTAAGTTAAATTCAAATCTCTCTGGTGCTGAAATTACAAGTAATTTCAGCACTTACAAATAAGTGGATTGTTAGTTAGATGGATCATGATTGGTTAATATTAAATACTTTACATTGGTAAAATATCTAATTTATCCAATCATAAAATGTAGTTTAGATCAGGTTCCATTATGTAACCACCTTCCATTACCCCCCCCCCCCAAGCCATTACCCCCTTCCAGAGCCCCCCATGCAATTACCCCCCCCCCCCCCTGTAAGCCATTGTAAACCCCCCCCATTATAATTCATTTGAAAGCCATTATAATGATTATATAATAAGTAGAAAATCACATTTAAATGGATTGGTTTTCCATTTTGTTTTTGTTTCGAGTCGTGCAAACGTTTGCAAGATTTGCTGCATTTACCAAATGAGTTATGCAGAAACTTTGCAAAGCTAAACTCAATTTGCAAAAAGATTCTGAAAAGTTTTCCCCCCTAACGAGTGCCCCTTTGCTCCGCCCTTTGCATAACTGTACAATTCACGTAAATTCCCTGTTTCGTCAATGTACCATCAATGTATCTGAAATTGAACTGTAAATGCATGTACCATCATTGTTTCGTCATTGTACAATCGATGTATTTGAAACTTGAATCACATCCATAGACCAAGAAAATGTCATCAATGCACCATCAGCATTTTGGTCAGAGAACCCATTTTGATCAATTGAATTATCTGAAAAATCCCTTGGTGCGAGCGCATGCTAAGCTTTTGGAGCAAACGCGTAAAAGAACGACAGCATTTTTGTCTCATTTCTTTTCATAAACTTGACTCTGGTGCAAATGTTTGTTTTTCTGGTGAAATGGGATCTGTATATGGTTTGGAGACACCGGATATTGGTTTTGATTGAACTTGAAAAGAAATTCAGAGCATTTAGAAAAACTCGTTCTCACTTGAGATCAGCGCATGGCTGTATGCACATGTTAACTGAACACTTTATTTTTTGGAATTTACATTACAAAGCAGCCGTAAACAATTTTTCTAGGCGGCTTCTTAAGTTTAGAGTGGTGAAGTTTCAATCATTGGAGTTTCCATATGCTAGAAACTGTTAAGTACTAAACTATTTGCAACAATGGAAATTTTAAAAAAAAAAGCACGGGGCTCTAATAAAATTCTGCTCTTTTGGTGTGTGCCAACAAGTTTATTAGGTCCACAAGTTAAAAAATGTCAGATTTTCACAGAAATGTTTAAAAAACAAGATTTAAAAGTTTAAAGACGCTTTGCAAGTAGATGTATATGGTTTTTTGATGTAAATTTTGAGTGAAGTTACGGATGATTTATTACCATCATGTAATAATAAATTTGTTTCAGGATTTGGAACTTGATCTTCTGTATGATTGTTTTATTTTCTTTGTCCATCTCAGACATAAGTTTTTTCAGCTCTAAATAACAAAATGAAAAAACAGAATTTTGATTTAAGGTTTAGCAATTCTTTTTTTTTTGAGATTTCCTTGGCTTGGAAGATATTTGGACAATGATCTATAGAATGAGAACGGAAAAGAGCCGCAATTGTATAAGAGCGGGAAAAAATCGACCTATGTCTCAGTAAAGTTTGGGAAATTTTTGACTGCGGAATGTTTTGACTGAGGAGTAAGCCTTGTTTACAGTGCTGTTATCGCCCTGATTGATGTATAAAAAATATCAGTCTCAAATTTCTCTCCCCCTCATAACGTTTCCTCGCCAATTCTTTTGCAGCCCCCCCCCCCCCATAACCAATAAATAGGCTTAAACTTTTATTCTGTACGAAGTTTACTTTTCAATATACCCCCATTACAATATATTTATATTTGATTTTTATAATTTTCTGATAACATATATCATAGACTATCAAATATACTAAAATAGTCAAAAACTATAAATTACAAAGAGGTAAGTAGACAACATAGTAAAGATATAGTTCCGTAAGCAGAGATTTTTAAAGCTTTTTCTCATCAGGTGTTCAAAGTTAAAGCTTTTAGTGTATCTATTTACTTGATAAAATTGAAAAACATAACGCTGGTTTTGTCAAACGCACAATAAAAAAATGAAGTTTTTAATTAGAGTTATTTTTTCTTTATGATATACATTCTCAAAAGCGTAGAATTATAAATGTGTATATTAGTTTGAACGCCAGTTGGACATCGAAACTTAGTATCATGTGATGACTTTGTGCTGAACTTGGCCCATGACCTATATAACAAATATAGTGCAGTTCTTTATGCCCTAACCACGCTGTGGATTTCCTATTCAACAACTTATTCCTGAGTTTTCCACAAACATAAACGTTCAACAACAGCAAAGAGGAGCATACTCAAAACCCATCTGTTTTTGAGCAAATTTATAGAAAAAAATGACAAAAAAACTTGTTTCCTTTATTTGCATTGATCACATTCCACATTTTCAGTGTTGACTAAAATTGCAAAACAAGAATTTCCTTTTCCTTTTATCATCAGGGCCGGATTCAGGGGGGTTGGGGGTTCGGGTGCGCTGAGGCTCCTTTCTCCCTACTTCAGGGATTCGAGCCCCTGACAACTCAAAGGGTCACCTCTCTGAACTATTTTGAGATATCCATTTTTGGCTGACGGACCCTAAAATTTTTCTAAACGCGCATTCGGTGCCAAAGTATACTAATTTCAAGGGGGGAGTGCGCCGAAAAAGCGCGAGTTTTTAGTAAAAGTTCTCCAAAAAAGATTTGATTTTTTGTTTTTTCAAAAAATTTTCCTGCGGCGCTGAAATTTTGGCTAAAACAGGGACTTTTAGGTCTTTGGGAGAGCTCGGAAAATCAATTTGGTCATCCTAGAAAATTTCGAAAATTTTTGAAACCCCCTCTCCCTCGAGAAAATCGTAGATCCGCCCCTGCTAATCATTCCATAAGAAGAAATTCCATGCAATTCCATAAGAAGAAAAAATGCTTGAAACGTCTCTGTTTGTCAAACCAAAACGGTGTTTTTTTTTCAACTTTATATTTAACTTCTCAAAAAGTTTGTGTTGGCTGTCTTCGTTATTAAACACAAGTGACGAATATGGTTACTCAAAGCTTGATTCAAAAAATATTAAGAGGTCTCCCATGTAAAATGAATCGAAACTGATCTGAATATAGATATCTTAAGGAAATATATAGATTTTTCGAAATTGTTTTTTTTTTAGCTTTTTCGAAAAAAAACTAACAAAAGAAAAAGAAAAAATAGTGTAATATCAACGTATCCAGCACTACGTTAGCACAAAAAAAATTCATTTTTCAGATGTTTGTTTGAGTAAAAAATTCGTATTACAGTTGAAATAAATTTTTTAATTTTTTGCTTATGAGAATACAGGGACTTCAACCCAAAACGTCACAAAAATATTTTAAACTTCGATGTCACCACTATTTTAACAAAAATGCATGAACGTTGTGATTAGCATTTTCTAGAATAGATCCAATGTATGGTCGTGTATGGTTAGAATTTTTGGTATATCGTGGTCAATCCGGGTGGGTAAAAAGTAGACGGTTGATGATTCGAATTCGAACATGGCTTACAAACTTTAAGATTTTTCAATATCAAAATTGTCAATACCGGATCATTAACGGACTATTTCTCGGGTTGACCAAAATTGTCTATTATACAGTTTCATACCGTGAAAAAATGTTTATCATTCATTTTCATACTGTGAAAAAAAAGCTTGTCATACAGTTTCATACTGTGAAAAAAGCTTACCATACAGTTGAAAATTTTTTTTCTATAGCGTCCATAAATGAAATTGTATGCTGAATATCTTTGTTGTATTTACGTCAACCTGGGTTAGTGTTTCTCCTGGCGCGTTTAGCTCCATTATATAGCAATTTTGAGAAAAAGTGCGCCAAAGAAACACAATTCCTAAAGAGCTTAAAAATTTTATGCTGTTTTGAAAGAGCTCGCAAAATGAATTTCCTCAAATTAAAAATGTTGCCAAACGGTAAAAAAAATTATTATCTGACGGCAACTTGAAAAAATTCTAATTCATGCTACATGAGGCACTTTTCATCATCCCGAAAAAAACTACTAAACAAAGACTGTTTTGCTGAAATGAACTAGCAAGCTAGACCAGATCTAGTGCCTTCTTTGTTAAGACTATAAAGATTAAATTGTTGATTAAAACGATATCAGAGGCGAGGTGTCCGTAGTTGCTAATGGTCTGATTGTTCTGATAATGTCTTATGAAAGGTATATCATTATCTGCCGCCCTGAGAAAAAACAAGCCTTGGATTCCTGGAAGCCCAAAATGTATCTAATTTT